GTTTTCTCTTGTTTGCATATGCAGATTTTTAGTATCATATTTTTTTTATTACCCGCAGTACTACTTATTATCATTATTCAGATTATTAGTCATATTATTCATTTTCATCTTCTTCCTCCAACGCATCCCCTGGTACCAGCTTGTCCGCGCACCTGCCTCGGGCCATGAACGATCTCCCGTTCTCCCGGCCCCCCTCTTCGGCGCAACCGGCTCTGGCGCCCAGAGTTGGTGTGCGCTCGGCTGCGCGCAAGAGTGGTCCGTCGTCGGGGTGGCCTCGGGGGCGGTGCGATCGCGGCGGCTTGCGCGCCTGGGCTTGCCCCCCCCCACCTCCTCTCCTCCTCCTCCCTCCTCCCCTTCCTCCTTCACTCCTCCACCTCCTCCTCCTCCGCCTCCTCCTCTCTCCTCCTCCTCTTCCTCTCTCCTCTCCTCCTTCCACCTCCTCCCTCCTACCTCCCTCCTCCTCTTCCTCCTCCTCACCCCCACCCCCCTCCTGCTCGTCCACCTCCTCCTCCATCTCCTCCTCTTCCTTCTCCTCCTCCTCCTGCCCTCCTCCTCTCCTACCTCCTGCTCCACTCCATCCTCCCTCCTCCTCCTCCTCCTCTCCTCCTCCTCCTCCCTCCTCCCCACCCCCTCCTCTTCCTCCTCCTCTCCCTCCTTATCCTTGCTTCCTCCTCCTCCTCCTCCTCCTCTTCACTGCCCCCCACCTTCCTCTCGAGCCCCCCTCGAGCCCCAGACCCCGACGCCGTGATCTTTTCGCAGCGTTGACCCCCAGGGGTCTAGACCCGTTCCCTGGGACAGGCTTTTCATCCTTAGCAGTTTCTCTACGGCCCTGGGGCCCAGCGAGTGCCCATGCAGAGGCCGAAAGTACAGCAGGGGCCCGACCACAACCAATCTTCCACGAGAAACCCAACCCTGAGACCCCAGGATGTCCACAGATTTTTGGTGTGGGAACGTTACGCTTTCCATAGCAAAACCATCGAAACCCAGGACACCCAGGGCACCCTGGAGGCAAGCAGGGTGTTTCTTGGCATGGGTCTCGACTGAACGCCAAAAACCGTCCGTCATGTTTTTGTCCCGACGCGAAGGGGTGGGGGGGCCGCGCGCTGGAGGCGCTTTTTGCCCAGGGCAGCTCGTGCGCGCAGCCGGCAGGTACGCCCTCCCATGCCCAGCAGGGTTGGTCGTGCACGCACCGAAGCCCTGGCCCAGGGAGACTGGCCCAGCCAGGACCAGGGCCGGCGCGCGGCTGGCGCTTCCTCCTCGAGGTCCAGGTGTCGACGTCGAGCTCGCGCTTGGCGCCGAGCTCGCGCGCGGCGCTCCTTGCCGGCCGGTGAGCCGAAGGCGCGCCCCCCTCGGGCGCTGCCAGGAGGGGCCTGCGCGCGGGCCGCGAGCCTCCCCCTGGCCGCCCTGGCCGCGAGCATCGTTTAACCGGCCCCCATCCCCATCCCCATCCCCTTCGAGACCCCCACCAGATCGCCCCACCAGTTGGGGATACACCCCTCGAAACCCGAAGGGAACGGCCCATATCCCCATCTAGGGGGGGGAACATCGGCCAGTGGGGCCCAGGCCACGCCGCTGGGCATGGGGATCGGCCAAACGATGCTCACAGGCACGGGGCCCGAGCAGATGGGGCCGCAGGATCGCCCTGCGCGCCGCCGCGCGGCGTCGGAGCCCCGATGCGCCGGCGCTGCCGGCGCCTCGGCGCTGCGGCGCGATGGCCTCCGAGAGCCCGCCGGTTCTCGGCGGGCGGCGGGGAGGACGTGCCCTCCGCCCGCGGGGGCGCCTGCCCCCCAGGGGCGGCCGGAGAGCGCACGGCCCTGCGGCGTGTCGCGGCGGGGTGCCGGCTCCCCGGCCGCTCGGGGACAGGCCTGCCCCCAGGGGTGCGGAGGAGCGTCGCTCGTCTGTGCCGTTCTTCGTCCACGGGCCCCCCCCCACCGTCGTGGTTTCTCCGCGACGTGGGCCCCCCCCCCGGAGGTCTGCACCCGCTCCCTGGGGCCGGCCTCGAGTCCCGAGGCGTTTTGGGGATGGCCTCTTGGGGCCCGGAAAGGGCCCCTCGGAGGCCGAAGAGGGCGAGCGAAAACCTCCGTTACGATGTTTTCCATGGCCCGAGGGGCCTGCGTCCGTTGATGCTCCGGTGCCCCCCTCGGGAGGCCCCTGGATGGGCTCGCTCGCGCGTTCACGGGGCGTGCGTGCTCCTTCGCTCCAGACAGTGACGAGCGGGGGCCGAGGCAGGGCCGCGTGTCGCGGACGCGTCCCGCCCATGTGCATGGGCACGGCCATCGCCCAGCGTTCGTCTCTCCCCCTCGCTCCTTCCTCCATGCTCCATCCTCCCTCCACTTCGCCCCTCCCTGCTTCCCATTCTCCTTCCTCATCCCTCCTCTGGCCTCTTCCCCCCTCCCTCCCTCCCGCTCTCCCTCCCGCTCTCCCTCCCGCTCTCCCTCCCGCTCTCCTTTTTCTGCTCTGCGCTGACGTTGGGTGCTGAGCCTTCTCGTTTCTCCTCTCT